CGAGTATCCGAAAATCGATACGCGGAGGAAACCAGAATGATATTGTAAGTACGCAAAACTTTATTTTTGTGTTGCTTTCTTTTTATCCTTTAAGTGTTATCCTTAGTGTCCAAAATTTTTCACCCAAAGAATAGGGGGCCTAGCGAGACTGGATTTCGACAGTCTCGCATAAATATAGATTTAGATAATTTAAGGAATATTGAGGAAGAATTAATTAGAATAGAAAACATGCTAGCTCTTGTACGCGCCTTAAGCACGCATCATTAAATGTTAGATATCGATACTTTAAGGTTAATGATTGAAAGAATAAGAATGATATATGGGGATGATAGAATATTAAATTTAGATTTACGCGACTAATATAGCATTATAAAACCAGGTTCATATTACGTCGAGAAACAGATAGTTATAGTTTTTAAAGTTCCCATAGTTAGTGCGAACATATTCGATCTGTATAAACTTTCGATAGCCCACAATAGGTATAACAAGATCCTTATTCCACCCCTTCCTTTCCTAGCAACCAATAGGGAAGCATATGCGTATATGGAGGCTGAATGCCCGAAGGTAGACCATCAGTACCTCTGCGAAGACGATACGATAAACAGAGTCAAGAATCATCACGACTGCACTCGAGAGCTCGTCACAACATGAAGCCTACAATCAAGTCATGAGAGAGCCGATAATTGTACAAGACACCATAGCTAGCAACACTCTGTACCACACAACTATTCCCGTTTATGTAATGATAATTGGCTCGCCTATTACAATAGCCATTGTAATAATCTGTCGACGTTTCAATCTGTGGAGATGCAGTAAACCGCAACAGCAGAGCAGCCAGCCGCCGGTACCTGGAAAGTATTCCTATGAAGATCCTAAAAACCCGAAAGCTTATCCAGCAACATTTTCCCTCAAAGTCGGAAAATAGTCGCCGAACTGTGTTGGGAGGAATTACGTAACCTACTTAAAAGTATGTAACCTACTTAAAGACGCACACGGCGTAGCCGCGTAACCTACTTAAAAGTATGTAATCTACTTAAAGACGCACACGGCGGAGCCGCGTGTCACGAAGCGCCGAGTCAGCAGGCCCGACGCCCTTGCAACAATCACGTAGTTCCAACCTACTTAAAGACGGAATCGGAATCGGAATTCATTATTCTTCGGTCCCACTTCGACCAAGATAATCACTTTAGTTTAGTTTAGTTATAGAATTATTGTAATTTTTCTTTTTTATTAAATTTATATTTTAAGAATTGGTTTTCTTCAAGTCCTGCGGCTGCAGCTAACGTAATTATCTCTTCAACAAGCAAATATTTAGGGTTCAAAGTAATCTTTACATTCGTCTTTCTGTGAATAACTAACTATAGTTAGAGAAAAAATACTGGCTTGTGAAAAAATCTCCGAGTTGCGGACTAAGCATTTCAGAGGCCCGAGGTGGGAAAACTAAATGAGGGCCCTAGTTTAAGAACTCGAATTTTACAAGCTTTTTACTTACACTTAGCTTGTTACTTCACATTTGGATGTATAAGTTTTATAAATATTTACTTAAAAGCTATCAATTATCGAAAATTAAATTCTATTCAAATAAATATAGAATATGAATATGGCTGAGGAGAATAAAATACAAATCCATCGGCAAAAAAAAACACAGTAAAAATATATACTAATTAGTAGTTTTTCTTTTCAATAAGTTTGTTTTTTTCCAAAGAAATTGGTCTCATTGAAGTTATTAAGGAGTTCAGTAAAATGAAAGCACGACTTTTTGGTTACAGTTAGGTATCTTTTTAAATCAAGTTGATCTTTTTATCTCACTATGGTTGGGCCACGCCACAGCTTACTGGAATGAGCAGGCTCGTTCAATGCTCGTTGGAAGTACCTCGGCCTCAGAAAACCGGCGTGAAGTGGAAATAATTATACTTTCGTATTACGTCAGGAGAGTGAACCGGGGCGTGGTTTTTAAAAGTTGTCAACGCATCTAAAAAGTCCTCAGGTGCGTGTACATTACTTTAGTCACTCTTGAAAAAAAATACATTGTTGTAAAGTAACAGCCTATACATGTCCCACTGCTGGGCAAAGGCCTCCTCTATACAGAGGGTATCAGGGCATAGTCCACCACGCGGCCCCACTGCGGATTGGCGGACTTCACATATCTTCGAAATATATATTTTTTTGTTATTATTTCGAAAATATGCAGGTTTCCTCACGATGTTTTCCTTAACCGCGGAGCACTTAAAGTGAAAAACTTCATTGGTGCCGGCACGGGGCATCGAAGTCAAGTTGCTCGATTATATTGAATTAAAGGCGAGCGCCCGGACACTGAGCTATTATGTTGAGGTGAGTCAATTTACCTGTTTCGTATTGTATAAATTGAAGTAGTAAACAGCGTAAACGATTATCAGGAGAGCCAATGTTTGTACCAGTAACAATTTTGTGCACGAAGGGAGGAAAAAGTTATAGCGGAACAGACTTCTGTGTTATTTATTCACCTTGCAAAAAACACTTGTCATATCCATAATAAGCTACTGTCAATAATTAGCTCTGAATCCTTGATATGTGTAGAGAAAAACATATATGTGCCATTAAAAACAAAAGGTGACGTTATGCTATGGTCCTGTGAGTTTAGATGAGATGTGATGAGAGCTGATAATAATGATGTCTGATATTAAGACGGATTAAGAGCAACGCCAACCATGTAATTTCAATCCCGGATCTTGTTCAGGACATAGTTAAAAGCTGCAAATCATCAGCATAGTTTTTTTTAATTTTTCGAACTCAAATTAATGAGGTCAAAGGATGTCCCATTGCGGGACACCAGCACTCAATCCTGCTACCGGAAATGTTTCCATCAGTGCGAATGGAGTCCACATAGATATGAAGAAAATCATTGTTAATGCTAAAATCGACTAAATTGATTGAGGACAATAAAAGGATGTCATGATGAACAGTATTAAAAGTTTTAAAAAGACAATTAAGACTCAGATGGTAGCTTCCATTCATCAATTGTCAATATTGCTGTAGTAGTGTTATGGCCAGCTCGGAAGCCGGATTGCAACTTATTTAAAATATTTTGCTATAAAGTTATATTGCTGTAAAGCTATAAAATTATTCTTAAATGAATATTGATCATGTACCTATTGACTAAATGAATACAATATATAGTGTACTCTTCGAACGAGATGCACGTGTATCTGTAATTAAATTAAATATGCAACCTTATTTTTTTTACCGTCTTGTTTTTAACATTTCAGGTTCAATTTAAAATTGGCATATTAATATTTTAAGCATTACTCTTATATGAATACGCATATTCATATAAGAGTAATGCTAGAGGAGCAGCCAGATGCAACAAAATAAATAGACGTTAAAAACAATATCTGGTAGGCAATATTGTGCATGACTAAAATTGTGAAGTCTTAAAGACGGAGAAGTAAATTGATTGGATGAAGTGACTTAATATTTATACCAAGGATATTGTTACTATCAGTGGGATTTCAACACAGGTTGCTCGAGTACAATGAATTAAAAGCGAGCGCCCGGACACTGAGACATCACGGCTTAGATCGACTATGAAGTATATTTCATATATACTGTATATTGTCTGTATAACGTATTACAGTCTAGATAGCGATGTGAACGCGAGGCACTTAATGTTATTACACGTAATCTATACACATATATCTCCATATAATGCTAGTATTATAAATGTAAAAGGAATAGTCAATAGATAATTAACATAACATTTGAATTGACGTATTGTGTAACACACGTGTAATAACCATAAGGTAATAAGGTATTGTTGAAGCAAATCATTGAAACACTGCTCTGAGGAACTGTTTTTTTGATTGCGATAAAGTTTTTCAAATAATGTAATATTTTCAAATAATAAATGAATTTCAAATATTTTTAGTCAAAAACGAATTGAATTTGACTCTCATTACATCTTCGCGGGTTGTCCAAATCTGGGTCTTTGTATTTATATAATACATATTCATAAATGCTGTGGCTGAAACAATCTTATATTTAATAAACTAACAAAGTAAAGGGAGGCGGGATTACGCTTTTAAACTTTTGTAAGCACCATTAAATAGAAATGGAAAAAAAATTCTGCAACATTTTTCGCACTTTCTTCAAGCTAATAACTGACCGTGTGACACGTCTAGCAGTTGTCTCTCACAAGAAGACGTTGCGGAACATTTTGACAACTATAACATTTGAGTATGACAACTAGATATTTGCGAACAAGGAGCAAATTTATTCAATGACGGATTTTTTATGTTTAATGTGTAACATTTGTGTTCAGTATTCATTTTTAAAAGCATATTTTGATTTCTGCTTTTTTTAATAATTTAAAATAAATTTTAGTCATTGTGTTTACAAGGCTACTAAATTTCATATGTTTTATATAAAATAAAATTCCTACTTTTAAATCTCCTTCCTTATAATAAGTAATTACGGGTAATTGTTTACAATCTTACGCAATAACTTTTAAACTTACAAATAATTTTAGTCGATAGAGAAAATAATTCATAAGTTAATTTCTATGCAAAGTAGATTCTAGATCTAAGCTAGATTTCGAAAAAAACATTAATTCAATTAAAGAAAAAACCTCAAAAAAAAGTAATGGAAATCTGTCATTACTTGACGTGCAATTTTCAGGCTTATATTTGAAGTTTAACAGTTTTTACTTTTTTTGAAAACAATAATGAACAGAATATATTTAACAAATTTATAGCGTTTAACACATTTCTAGCGCTTGCGTAGATTTCAACTTATGAATTATTTCATTAGTGACATTTTTCTATCTATATAATTTTAAAAACGTTTTGAAAAACGTTGCGTAAAAATTATAATTTACCGTTAAAAGACGTGCACAGTCTATAAGCAAAAAAAAAAACTAATTTAATCTGTTCCGAATCTTGACAAACTGTTGACACAATACATATAGAAATTTGAAAATTTTAAGCGTAATAAAAGGCTTATCATATTACCACACTTACTTGAACATGGAAGGAGGTCCAAATACAGAAGCTGAATTAAAAATTAGACATTGCAAAAACTTTAAACAAGATTACAATGGAGAAAACGAAAAGAAACAGAATTCGCGAGACTGTTTTGAGGTAAGCGAAACGCTAAAATTCGAAATACAAAGATTCGTCGAGATCGCCAAGTATTTTTCGAGTCCACTGAAGAAAACTGCATCGTATGCCTGTGAAAAAAGCATCGTGTCATATCCGAAACAGTTTACCCTGGAGTACAGGCGCGGTGTTGCGTCCACGGGCTGCGTAAAGTTTTGCAATCTGACCTTGGAACCGGTTTACATAAAATATTACAACGTGTACCCCGAAGTAGAGCATCTGAAGTTTCAAAACCTGTCTCGCTCGCGATGCCGGAGAATTCCACCGGGGCTCTACTTCCATCTGAACATAGTTTACAACAACGTCACCGAGGCGACGCCGATTCGCTCGAAATTGGTATTCGTCGCAACAAGGAAAACGTCGACGCCGTGCTATCAAATTTGCGGGATCGATTTGGAGATAGTCACTCAAAAAGTTAAGGTGACGAATAGTTGACATGACAACGAAAAATATTTTAAGTTTTTTTTTTTTTTCAAAAACTTGACCGCATTTCACCAGTGAACACGCAACGTAAAAACTGTATCATCTACCAGAATAGTGCAAGTACATTTTTAGTAATAAAAAACAAAACCGACTTCTAATATCTTACTCAATTTACATATTCTATTTGATTTTAGGGATTTTCTTGATGTATCTCCGTAGTTCAAGTTCCAATGCCAATGAAATTTGAGACCATGGGATCATGGGAGCTAAACAGAACCCAATACAAAAAGAATGAAAAAAAAAAAAACCGGTCCATACCATAGTTTTGGAAAAACAAACACTAAATAAAAATATAACTAAAGTGAAAACCTTCTTTTTTAAGTCTGTTGTAAACACATACACACGTCTTAAAGGCGATTATGCGGTGTAATATCCGCATTTTAAATATCGAGGTTATATCGAACTTTTTTGGGGATCTCATTTCTGGACCGCGCGTAAAATCTTGCAAAGTTTATAATTGATGCGGCATTTGAATTGAGCAACGTTACGAACCTCTTGCAAACTGCAGAGTTCAAGTTGCTAGGAAAACTGGTGACGGCGCGCGCTTCATTTATATGCGGTAGGTACCGATGGAAACCTTACATTCGTGGAAAAATACGAACAATGTTTTTAATCAAGAAAACAACATTCACGTAGTGGGTTTACGATTAAATTGCACGCACGAGTACATCCGCCTCTTTTATATTGCAACGACGTATTAATAGTTAAAATCGACACATGACTCACACTTTTGTAAAATCGTTGTTTTTTTTATTTATATTTTTCGACGCAAAAACATTTGCTGTATTTTAATTTCGAGTAAATCGTAATCTGAGTTGTAAAATGAATAGGGCCTATATTCAATTTCAAAAAGGATGTCTTATGATACATAAACGCAAATCTTTTAGTTCATATATGCGTATTCATATGCGTAAAGTAACAGTCTATATAATTATTATGTCTGTCTTCTAGGCAAAGGGATTCTCTCTACAGAGGCTATTTACGACGTAGGTAATCCACCACACGATCCCACTGCGGATTGGCTTATTTCACACATCTACGAAGTATTTTATTTATTTATTATTATTTCGAAAACATGCTGGTTTCCTCACAATGTTTCACTTAAAGGTTGTCAAAATATCGGCAAGCCATCGGGTGTTGTAGATGTCCCTGGGTGCGCTTAACATCTATTCACTTAAGAAAAATAAACATAATGAAAAGATGTCATTCATATCATTTATTTTGAATGTTGTTGCTGTTTGTTGCTTGTCAAAATAAAGTTTATGTCTATGTCTATGACTAATTAACAATATGATGTTATGTCAAAAATATTATAGTTTTAGCCTCAAGGTTGTCTGGAAGAGATCGCTTTTTAGCGATATGACCGCCTTATTGTTCCTATCTGATAAGTTATTTTTGCAACATTACTCTTAGATGTTTATGGTGTTCAATAAAGCATGTAAATAAATAATGCACGATCAAATCAAATCATTAAATATGTTTTAACTTTAGGAAGTATAATAAAATAAAAGAAAGTACCTGGAGGACTGAGCTTTGCTAATTTTTTATGGTAAATCATGTATTTTGGAAATTAAAAAAATAAAGCTATGATCTGGTATAGAAAAACAAGTAAAAACATAACTGTGAAAATAATCGTGACACGAACCGCGGCCTTCTGTTTTCGGGATCGGCCTGGGATGCTATCGATTACTCCTCCCTACCCCATCAAACTTGCCCATCCAACGTCATTTCTATAGGAAATGGAAAAAAAACATTGTTTGGAAAATTATTATAACATATAGATTGAAACAAATCATTTCACCAAGACACAATTATTTAATGAATAAAATATTTCTTTCCAATTTTTTTTTAACTTCAACTTGCTAAGTGCTAAGATTTTAGACGTTCGCTCGTAGTCATCACCCGTACCAGCAATATTACTTCAATTTGCTTTCGTCTGCGACAGTAAATCAAGGGATATTATTTTTCTTTTTATATATAAAGGTATTTTTATTACTTATTGTTTAGTGTTTATTGTCCATACCTCTAGCTCACAGTTATGACCTTGTTGGATTTTAGCAAGGCTTTTAATACAGTTGACTTGGATGTTCTGTTGAGTCAGTTGTGTTCTCTTAATTTATCTCCATCAGTAATTGACTGGTTTCAAAGTTATCTCAGTGGTCGTCGGCAGCGTATTCGCTTTGATGAAACCCTTTCATCGTGGTGTGATACTACTGCTGGGGTACCGCAGGGCGGCGTGCTGTCACCATTACTTATTTCTATTTTCATTAATTCAATCACTCAAAAAATATCTTGTCTCTACCATATGTATGCGGATGATATCCAAATTATACCCAGTCAACTCTTGAGAATCTACCAATAGCTATCACCACTATGAAAACCGATTTACATTACATACTGGAGTGGAGTAAATCGCATGGCCTCATGATCAATCCTAATAAGTCAAAGGGCAATAATAGTTTGCAACCGGAACTTTATCTCGAGAATTAACTGGTTATCCTTACCGGCAATTAAACTCAATGGAGTTATAATATAATCCCATATTGTGATTATGTAAAAAACTTAGACATTTGTCTTGACAGTACCTTAAGCTGGACACACCATTTAAATGAAGTCAGTAGAAGAACTTTTGCAGCTCTTAGTTCCATGCGACGTCTTCGGTCAATTCTTCCCATTCCTACAAAAATTATGCTCGCACAGGCTCTTCTTCCAATTCTTGATTATGCTGATGCCAGCTATGTAGATGTTACTGAGGACCAATTAAATAAACTTGAGAGACTTCAAAATACTAGCATTCAGTTCATATTTGAGTTGCGTAAATATGACCACGTTTCTCAATTTCGTCCACGTCTCAAGTGGTTGCCCATCCGACTTCGCCGGAATTTGCATATTGTTTCTATTTTGTACTGTCTTCTATTTCATGTCTCTACTCCACTTTATTTAAAGGAGAAATTTGAATTTGTAGGGCTTCCAGGGGGAGATCTACGTTCTTCGAGGAAGATCATTTTAAAGATGCCAAATCACAAAACGTCATTTTTCGAAAAATCTTTTACCGTACAGGCTGTTAAACTCAGGAATTCCCTACCGTTGGTTATTCCTGTATTATATTGCTTGAGGTCTAGTATATATCTTTATATATATATATATATATATATGTATTATTTATATTAAAATATATAAATATAGAATAATAAGTATGTATTCATTTATGTATGTGTATAACTATGTATTTATGAGTGTGTATGTGTATACATGTATGTATTTGATTGAGTTACATATTATGTATGTTAATATTGCACCACCTACGTAGTAAACGTTCCTTTACGCCATTGGTTGCCTGGAAGAGATCGCTATGAAGCGATAAGGCCGCCAAATTGTCCATTCTATTAATTTGTTTGTCTATTGTTAATTTTGTGTATCCTTTTATTTGTGGTGAACAATAAAGTATGTCATTCATTCATTCATTATTGTTCTTTTTTATATTTTAAGGTAAGTAAATTTTGTATGTCGTTAGAATTTTTGAAACCTGTACAATCAAATACCCTTTATGATTGTAATTTTTAACAATAAACGTGTTATATCTCATTTACATTGGTGACAGTATTTATAAATATTTAGTACATAAGTAAAACGATTAAAAGAAACTGAGCTTAACTAAACGAACGAAAGTACGCATTCTAATTCATTAATAAAAACTTTATAGTTCGGTTCGTTAAGCATGCAATGCGTATGCTTTAAATCTTGGTTCATTGGCTAACGGAATTATTGTAAAATTATATTAAAAGCACGCCTGCTCCTTCTGAAATTCAACTCTGCACCGATTATATGCGAATTTTCAGTGCAATTATTAGAGCAAAGGCAGTAAATACGCTTCGAACGGATCCTGATATTAACAGTGTCCATTTAAACTTATCCAGTTGTTTCATCTGTCCAATCTGTCAAGTAAACTTCTTCTAGAGGGCAGTAACAATAAAGCTCTGAGGCATTGGCTTCTATGTAATGTATATTATTTTATATTACACTAGCGGCCCGCCCCGGCTTCGCACGGGTATTTAACAAAATTTTTACAACATAAAAATTATGATACACACACATAAAACCTTTCGAATATTTCGTCTTTGGGGAATAATTTTATGAATTTCTTCATCTTTTAATGAAATACCCTTGAAATTACGCCACGTATTATTTAAAGATGGCAACTCATTTGCAACCCTACAGGTGTTACAAATGTCTATGGGCGGCGGTTATTACTTAACATCCGCTAGCTTGTTTGCCACTTTATCACATTAAATAAAATCATGTTTTATTATCTTTATTCAATATAGAAGTATTACACTTACATATTGTCAAAAACACTATAGTCTACTGTCAACATTATCTATAAAAACGGCAAAAAAATCATGTCTGTTTTATGGGAGCCCCACTTATTAATATTTTTTTTGTTTTTTTGGTATTTTTTTTATAGCGACAACAGAAATTCATCGTTTGTGAAAATTTCAACTGTCTAACTATCACGATTCATGAGATACAGCCTGGTTACATATGGACAGACATACGGGTATACAGACGAACAGCGGAGTCTTGGTAATAGGGTGCCGTTTTACCCTTTGGGTACGGAACCCTAATAAGTCCCAGTAATAATGCAATGGCTTAAAACAGGTAGCTCTAACTATCAACCTAAATGCATACAATTGCATGCATGTCACAGTTTTATTACGCACAGTACCTTGCTGAGGAATAGTTAACCGTCTTCTCCTATTACGACTATTAAGGGATATTTTTATGGAACATACAATCGGTGTAACTCACAGACCCTTTTAAGTTGGCCGTGTCTACCGTGCAACACTATATCTCTGGGGCCTTTTTAGGATGCTGTACCCAAAGGGTAAAACGGGACCCTATTACTAAAACTCCGCTGTCTGTTTATCCCTTTGTCAACAGGCTGTATC